GTTCATACACTTATACACTTACCCACACCACATACACTCAACCCCCCCTCAATCCCTCACATACACACCTGTTCTGTGTGAATTACAGCCAAACAGAATATCAGTGTTTCAGTATTGTAACGGTTGCTGGCACGTAGAATCAACGAGCGTCTAGACAGCAGCGTTGCAGTGTTGAAGTCTACTTTTGTACAGGTGACGCACTTTGAATTTTGGGATGGAATATGTCCACGCAACCAATACCTGTCGTTGGAGTCGACTTGGTGTACCAGATGGTCACAATCAAAAACTGGGTCGAATTATTGCGTGTTGAGCGTTATATATTTCTTGAGTCGCAATATAGGCTGCGATAAAGGATTAACATTTAGTTTAGACTTACTGAATATATTATATAGACTGAAAACAATCAGTGGGGTCGGGAACAGGTCCAGCTGGACCACGCTTCATGAAGCGATCATAGTGCTTCTCGGGATCGGGTGGTCAGGCTCGCTGTCTTGGTTGACACATGTCATCGATTCCCAGATGAGTAGATCGATACTCATGATGTTAATCACTGGATTGTCTGATCTAGACTCGATCATTTACAGACCGCTGCGAATATTGCTGAGTGCGGCGTAAAACCAGGGATAATCTTCAGTTTTATAGTCCTATAGTCTCCCTGGTAAAACTAAACTCACTCACTCAATGGTAGTGCTACGACTGTCGGAAATATATTGTATCGGTGTAAAGGAATACCCAGGTTTGATTATCCTCAGAAACAGATTCCATTTTGGTGTAAAGGTTAAAATAGCTGTGAAAAAGGTATATCGAATGGGCCACTGAAGATGTCTATGTTAAATGTTTAGGCGTTGTGCTTTGTGAAACAGTTCAACAGTTTACCTGATCCATTCAGGTCTGTAAAGGCGTCGCAATTAGCAATGCAGAGTTGTCTTCCTTGGGTTGTGGTTTCGAATCCCTGTTGACCACGATTGTGTTTCAGGGCGTGTCACCACCTTGCCAGTGCTCGTATTTTAACCAAAGCGATAAACACCGGAGCTCTGCATCACCTCCGGCTTCTACTCCCACTGCCATGCCGTGACGGGAATACTGTTCATAGCGGCGTAAAAAACACAGTTCACTCACTACATAGGTGTCAGGAAATGTTCATTTGTTCGCATTTTGAATGTGAAGTTCGGAGAACGCTGACAAATATGTCCTGTAAGAATCTTGCGCTTGCTGGTTCTCTCAAGTGTTAGTGTTTAAACTCAACACACTCTGGCCCACATTGCACGGGGCAGTCAAAAACAGGGTCAAGTGGACCATGCTTGAGGGTGAATGTTCGGGAACGTACCGTAACATTTGTGTTCTCTGTATGTCTTTTTACCTTGTCGAGATCGCGGTCATCAAATCATGCCACTTCCTATTTCACAGGTGGCAGTCAGGTGCTACGCGCATGCGCAGACGGCTCAACATGGCCGGGATTCTTGAAGATACCGGAGTAAGGATTCTGATATCATAAAACATCTCCCTCCGCGACTCCTTCAGACCGACGTCGGGTTCGACATACCAGCCGTCCATGGCGCCGTCGCTAATGTGGAGGCAGTCACGCCATTGGTCTCAACACAACAAATCGTTGTGACTCGAACTTACGTCGTGTCATGGCTGACATTTAGTGAGCAGATAGAGACGATGCATTATATATATGTACAGTTGTGTGAGATGCAGATCTAGGGGTCTTCCAGTGTTTGTCTGTGGGGGGCGTCGGGTGAGATATGCCGCACACTCAGACAACTTGAAACACTCGACATTCCCGCCACTAGGTCACCGACCTCGCGGTATTTAGGGGATGTTCTAACATAGCGCAGCGGTAGTCACCTGTTCCATAACATACGGTTCAGTGCCAGTAATATAATAATACCATCTTCAGCATTCTGTACGTGTCAATAAAACAGGTCAGGGGGAAGAAGCTGAATCAGCAGATGTATATCAATGAGAGAACCAGAACGTTTTCACGAACACTTGTCTGCCATTTACGATGCAGTCTTGTCCTCTCGAACATATGATCCTTCGAAAACTAGTGTCCCTATGAACAAGGTATTTCTTCTTACGGTACCATCTAACAGTCTTATCATCAAGAACATTGAATAGCAACACACGATACCATTGATCAACCTTATCATCAAGAACATTGAATAGCAACATACGGTACCATCTAACAGTCTTATCATCGCGAACATTGAATAGCAACATATGGTACCATCTAACAATCTTATCATCAAGAACATTGAATAGCAACATACGGTACCATCTAACAGTCTTATCATCAACAACATTGAATAGTAACATATGGTCCCATTGAACAGTCTTATCATCGCGAACATTGAATAGCAACATATGGTACCATCTAACAGTCTTATCATCAAGAACATTGAATAGCAACATATGGTACCATCTAACAGTCTTATCATCGCGAACATTGAATAGCAACATATGGTACCATTGAACAGTCTTATCATCGCGAACATTGAATAGCAACATATGGTACCATCTAACAGTCTTATCATCAAGAACATTGAATAGCAACATATGGTACCATCTAACAGTCTTATCATCAAGAACATTGAATAGCAACATATGGTACCATCTAACAGTCTTATCATCAAGAACATTGAATAGCAACATACGGTACCATTTAACAGTCTTATCATCAAGAACATTGAATAGCAACATACGGTACCATCTAACAGTCTTATCATCAAGAACATTGAATAGCAACATATGGTACCATCTAACAGTCTTATCATCGCGAACATTGAATAGTAACATATGGTACCATCTAACAGTCTTATCATCGCGAACATTGAATAGCAACATATGGTACCATCTAACAGTCTTATCATCAAGAACATTGAATAGCAACATATGGTACCATCTAACAGTCTTATCATCACGAACATTGAATAGCAACATATGGTACCATCTAACAGTCTTATCATCAAGAACATTGAATAGCAACATATGGTCCCATCTAACAGTCTTATCATCAGGAACATTGAATAGCTACAACATATGGTACCATCTAACAGTCTTATCATCAGGAACATTGAATAGCAACATATGGTACCATCTAACAGTCTTATCATCAGGAACATTGAATAGCAACATATGGTACCATCTAACAGTCTTATCATCAAGAACATTGAATAGCAACATATGGTACCCATCTAACAGTCTTATCATCAAGAACATTGAATAGCAACATATGGTACCATCTAACAGTCTTATCATCAAGAACATTGAATAGCAACATATGGTACCATCTAACAGTCTTATCATCAAGAACATTGAATAGCAACATATGGTACCATCTAACAGTCTTATCATCAAGAACATTGAATAGCTACATATGGTACCATCTAACAGTCTTATCATCGCCAACATTGAATAGAAACATATGGTACCATCTAACAGTCTTATCATCGCGAACATTGAATAGCAACATATGGTACCATCTAACAGTCTTATCATCAACAACATTGAATAGCAACATATGGTACCATCTAACAGTCTTATCATCAAGAACATTGATTAGCAACATATGGTACCATTGAACAGTCTTATCATCAAGAACATTGAATAGCAACATATGGTCCCATTGAACAGTCTTATCATCGCGAACATTGAATAGCAACATACGGTACCATCTAACAGTCTTATCATCAAGAACATTGAATAGCAACATATGGTCCCATTGAACAATCTTATCTTCACATACATTGAATAGCAACATACGGTACCATTGAACAATCTTATCTTCACATACATTGACTAGCAACACACGATACCATTGAACAATCTTATCTTCACATACATTGACTAGCAACACACGATACCATTGAACAATCTTATCTTCACGAACACTTAATAGCAACACACGATATTGAACAATCTTATCTTCACGAACACTTAATAGCAACACACGATATTGACCAATCTTATCTTCACGAACACTTAATAGCAACACACGATACCGTTAACAATCTTATCTTCACGAACACGTAATAGCAACACACGTAATATTGAACAATCTTATCTTCACGAACACTTAATAGCAACACAAGATATTGAACAATCTTATCTTCACGAACAGCGATCAGAAAGTGTGTTACCTTCGATCAACCATCTTCTTGGGATCCCCTATAATTGGATATTAAAGGGAGGTTTTACAGCCATATACACTATCTTACAACTTTCAGTACCTTCAAGATTCATTCTCACGGACTCCATTACCATCGAGGACAATATTGCCTCACGAACACCAGATGGCGATGCCAAACATTTGCCAGGCCTAATGACGGCTTATACAGTCAAACACACATCACTAGACACACTGCTTAGATACGTATGGTACAAATATACTCGCGAACACAGGACTGCTACTTTCGCTAGCTGTTAATACTCGTACTCACAGGCTTCCTGCCTTCCTTCAAATACTATCCTCACAACCACCACATTGTTAGTGCCCCTTGTAACATTAAACCAAATATATACTGCTTGTTTTGCGTTCCCTTAGACTGAATGTGTTACTACTTTGGGTCATTAAGAAACAGTCACATTGCCATGGTATCTACCAGTCCTACATTCACCCTTTTACCCCGTGAGTGTTATGGTGTTACCAGGCGCGCTGTCTAGTGGTTGTAGCGTTTACTCGTCAACCGAAAGGTCCAGGTTCGATTCCTCACATTGGTGAAACGTGTAAAATCCATATCTGCTTACCCCGTTGTGAACTTGATTGAATATTGCTAAAGGCGACGTAAAGCTACACTCACTCCATTGATGCCAAGATAATACCACACATCCTATTTCCTTGTCCACGGGGCGGTAGGGTAGTCTAGTGGTTAAAGCAATGTGTTACAATGTGTGCAGCCCCCCGCCGTGATATTGCTGGAATATTGCTAAAAACGGCATGAAACTAAATTCACTCACTCCTTGTCCAGTATTAAAAGACAAAGCAAACACAGATATACTAAGAAAATGAGAAATGTTTATTTTTCTTCTTTGTTGAATACTTTCAGCCCTATTTACACATATGGAATAACAGTGATATCAAGCTCCAAACTGAGGATTAAGTTTTTTATCATGACATCCGGTGGATCCCGGAAGCTCGAACGTGTACTGACTTCCGCCTTGCACAGTGCTGCCATAGAAGCCTTTATCTCCAGCCTTCATGCACCAGATCTTAGAGCCCTCCGGCTTGCCCACACATCTGAAGAATAACCCAATACATATGTCAGACAATCAATAGCACGTGTCGATGTCCCTAGAGTACAGAATCGTGTGCTCAATTAAACCCAATGTCGTGAAAATGATTTAAAGATGTTTTGGCATTTTATTATGGATTTGCTAATGGCGTTTTCATGTTATCGGAACACCTCAAAGAAATCTATAATAGACAGTCGGTATTGGAGAGTTATTAATCTATTCATGGGCATATTACTCAAACTTCATGTAAAACAATCATGAGAAGATGAATATGTATCCCGGTATATGCTTGTAAAAACTGTCACTTACCTACAATAGTCGTCACGGCCGTCGTTGTCGACGTCGCGCATGAACCACGTGTCTCTGTGACCGCTGTCAAAACCTAGCTTAGAAACGTAATGGTGACCTTGACCTGAGCTTCCTGCCAGTGCGCATGACAAGAACCTTCTCTTTCCACGTCCCAAAATTCTGGTGAAGAAAAGTGCATATATTGACTGATTGAGTTCAAGCATAACTTCGTATCGGTAATACATCAGTGAGGATTTAGTAACTGATTTGATGAAAATATCGCATAGATTCAAACTGTAAATGCCCCATATGAACTAGCAAAAGAAGCTTAAGAACGCAGGTATTTTTCACATGATAGTAATTAATCCGTCTGGATATAACATAACATATTAACTATGATTATAGGAAAAAGAGAATATTCTTTGTAACTCCCTTTAACTCATATTGGATGGATTGAGTCAATACGGGGAGCAACCGGGAGCAAAAAGTGTTTCAGCCTTGACAATGCTTTACCAAAGATTACAGCAAGTTTGCAAATATAAGCATGTCTGTATAGCTGATACAAAGCTGCCTATACGCGAGGTCCGCACTTTCAGGATTATCTCACTGAAATGGGTTTAACCAAAGAAATCCTTTGACTGGTTTCATATCTTAGTCGCGTAACTTACACACACTCTGCGCAACCAGGACATGGTATCGTTAGTCACCTGCAGTAGTCGTTTGCTGCGCCGGTGCCCTGCACATCCGCCCAGCCGTGGTATAAGTCCTCATCACCGAGCTCTATGACGTCATATCGTCTCTGAGGTATCTGACTGGTTGTCATTGATACAACTTCCACTGAGTATTCATCGTTGTCGCCGATTTCCGCCTCCAGGGGTGCAACACTGACCGGCTGTGTGTTCGGCCGCCGTATACTTCCGGTCACGCGCAGAGACACATCCACCAGCTCCAGTTCACCAGAATCTGTGGGAGGAATTATCATACAAACTGAGATACTGTCTCTTACTCAATCTTTATTGGGTTTGTCGGATTAACACCCCTTCCCTATACCCGGCTCATCGGGCTGACTATGAGCTTTAAAGTACATATCTCAATTCAATGTCAATGACCTTTGGACTTTCGGGGTAAATGGACCTCAAAGTTCTTACTTGTCGACTTGCATAAGGATCAGCTACTTACATTGTGTTACTAGACTAACTAGCGCTTAGTCTCTGAATATATAGAATTTCGATTGTAACAAATTCACCCAATTGAAGAGGAGCCCCAGGGAGAACCTGAGGATATCTAGACTTGCTTCATGTAGTGCTTTACATTGCAGGGAGGGCTAGGCTGTCGGGAAAATAGTATGGTTCAGGGACTGTGAGACAGACTAATCGTGTTACTCGCCCAGGGTTTTTTACATGACGCGTATTACCTGCGTATTTGACTCAGCAATATTGCACAATACTCCAAACATATTTACATACGAGTCATAGCTGACGCTATATTTATTTTAAATAGGTGTACCTTGAATCCAAATAACTCCGCTAAATACCACAAGCAACTACAGTTTTCTGACTGGACACTGCAATCGGCGAAACGGAAGTTGAGTCTGTTACAGTTCACAGGTCTTGTACCAGACTTGCTTGAAGTTGTTTTAACAAGTTAAATTATAGTAAATACAATCACTGGTCCATTTCACCATTGCATTATATTTACGCTTGTTATGAATGAATGTTATGACAAATAATAAACATGAACTGCATCAGATTACTTACAACAGAGGACAAAATATGCTGTCACAACATTTGCTACATTTAGAATTAATAATGGAATTATGTTATTGACTATTCTTTTTAATGACAAATTTAGAAACTGACTACCAAAAACATTTACTGTTAGTCACCATGATTCAGTTTTTCCAAGTCTGTGTAAAACCCTGGTCTAGTGTTTGGTTGTACACTGTGTAATTGTAACCGGGCGGAATTGACCGTTGTCCATACTATTAACCACTGGTTTACCGGACTCGTGGTTCTGAGATAAGGGCGTTAGCAAGAGTCACTCGATTACCCCATATCAGTAGCAGGGAGACAGAAAATGATCAATATTCTTCGATTACAATGAGACAAGCTATGATAATAAATTTGGTTTTGGTACAGCTCTGTCAATTTTCATCACACAAATATTATTTACCTTTATCAGATATTGCTTCGCATTTCCACTTAAAAAAGAATTACCGTAGGTTATTTTCATGGCCTTCTTCACTTTCATATATTAAGTACTGATGTACCCACGAGAGACCGGGGCGCCCTACACCTACACACAGAAGACGCCATGATTTAGTCATGAAGGTTTTTTGTGCACAAGAGGACTGCTAGAGCATAAAGGGGGGCTGGAGTGATATGAGTATGTACCGCAGCACGCACGTGAACACCTGTGTTACAACTACCGGATCGGTCAGATAGTTGCAAGTGGACACTGTCCAAACATTCCACGCATGGACCTTCATACATAGGCACGTGCATCAGTTGTTTGTTGGGAGTTGGGTTGTTCAGCAACGTGAAGGCCAGACGAGCGTGCGGCTTTGACATGTGGGGTTTTGTGTGTGTGTGTGTGTGTGTGGGACTAACCCCATGCCACTACACAAAGATTCCGGGTTACAATTGGTTCTTCAGAATCCCATGCTTGTGATCTGAGACGACATAGGGGATAGACCGATCAGGCTCTCTGACCTAGTTGATGCATGTCCATTGCCTAGATCAACGGGCATAATGTCAGTCACGGAATTATCTGGACCAGCTTCGGATACATACACATCACCGCCATAAAGCTGGAACATTTCTTAACACCGTTGATCATTACATCAATGGTCGATACTAAATGAGTTAAATTTCTTACTGAAACAAACCCCGCCTTATCTTTGACATCCTTCAGCCTAGGGAAAAACACCTGACATTCGTTTATAAGCAGTAACTCGTATATTTATCATTGAACGGATGTTATGTTAAATACAAATTGGCTGCTAATTGCTTCCTCTCCCCCGAAGCAGGGCGACAGGCGTTCTTTCCGACAGACGTGGATTTGATACATTTGCACATTAATGCGCGTGACTAGTCTGAGGTTTCACCAGTCTTTGAAAAACTGTTTTGTTTTAATGAATTTTATTTCCCCGTGCGGTAAACAGAAACCAGCTGCCAGTGATCCGATCAGGGTAAATTGTTCAAACTCGTAACATACCAACAGGTACTTTACCTCTCAGACGCCATATTAAGAAACGCAGACATTTGGCCAAATCAATGCCAATATGCCTAAATTGGAACAACATCTATGAAGTGTGTTTCATATTTACAGTGATCTCATTAGTACAGATCAGAATAGAACCCGTATGTGTGACCGAGGTCAAGGTGCAAAGGATAGGGGTTGACTGATTGAGGACACATATGTTTGAAGGAAAGAAAACGGGATTCTTTTAATTCATTTCTTTATACACTGAAGTAGTTTGTCTCACAGTCCCTGAAGCACATTACTTTCCTTTCTTTAGATCCCTCCCTGCAATGCTAAAGCCCTACATGAAGCAAGTCTGGACTTACCTTCGGTTCAGAACCTCCCATCTCTCTTGGGCTCCTTTTCAATTTAGATGGAATTATTTATTTTTATCAAAATTATATATATTCAGAGACATAATTAACCTAAGCACTAAACCAAATGTTCCGGCTTCCGGGTTACTTCGATATAGAGACAACACAGAAGTGCAGTCTATCGTGTGATGGGAAGATTTACACTTTTACCAGTTTTGGTTAACACAAGCTGATTGTCCTGTTTCATTTTGATCTTTTTGTGAAATCATCATTTTAAATATAATATGAAAATAACAGTTAAAGGACTGCCTACATATCCCTAATATGATTTTCAAAATGGTGTATTTCTAAATTACAAATTCGATATATACTGATGCAAATATGGAAACAAAATTGTTGATGATACTTTCGAATACCGTTTACTGGAGCACTATATGCAAAGAAGACAATAGTACCAGGAACTGGATCCAGCGTATATGACCGGGAAGCGGAAGGTCAAGTGTTCGATCTACAGCCACACCATACCAAAAGACGGTACTTGATGTTACCCTGGCCGAAAGTGACAAGGTTTGTTGGCTCAGTAAATGTCTGGGTGGAGTATCCGTTTAATTTAAACTGGGGCATGTCACAGCGGGCTTTGACGATAAAACCGACATATGTCCGTACAATTACACGCACGCACGCATGCAAGTATGCGCACGCAAACACACGCAACGTTACACACCATCTACTTCTCATCACTGCCTGGTACCCCTTCCTCCAAAGCGATCTTAGTGCTACGATGACCGTACGCCTATGTTAAATCTGTCACCCCAGATTCAGATGTTCATAATTATGGTTCTGGATTTGTCAGCATCATGAATGTTTGCCATCCGTAACCCCCTAAACTTTGGTTCGAGTCCCGTATATTTACAATCTGGTAAACTCATTCCTTTGTCCTCCATTTCTGGGATCATGCAAAAAAGCGGCTTAAAAACTATGGCTGTATTCTGATTTTGGCTAAAGTACCTTTCAGTCTAGATAACAACTAGTCTCTGAAATGAACATATATTACAGAAAAAAATTCATAGTAAAAAAAAAAATATATAATGAAATGGAGCCCTGATACTCTTCATTTTCAGACTTGCCACGTTTTCTAGACTTGCGTGGGCTTTCTTTGATATATTTGCTTCAGGGTCTGTATGACGGACTTCTTTCTGTCTACAGATAATAACCATAATCAGGTGGTCAGGCTCGGTGACTTGTTTTTTGACACATGTCACCGTATCCCAACTGCGTAGATTGATGCTCATAATGTTGATCACTGGATTGCCTGGACCAGATCGATTATTTAGAGACCGCCGCCATATGGCTGGAATATTGCTGAGTGGGGCGTTAAACAACAGAAAACAAACAAAACCATGAACAGTAAACGAAACATCATTTGACAACATGTTTCATATTCACACGGTTACTCCTCGCTACATGTTTCAAACCGCGCATGCTTGTCTCATTATCTTGTACCGTGTTAATACCCCCTGTGTTTGTTTTCCATATGCGTGCACGGTGTAATTATACCAGAACCTCTACCGCCCGGGCCCAATACAGGCATTCACATCAGATACCAGCATCATAACGCTCCGGATGTGGTCTTAATAGACCTTATGATCAATAGAAAACATTAAAAACATAAATGTGAACATGAATACGTTTGTATCCCCATAACGAAACCTAAAATACGAGGTTTTAGGGCGGGGCATTAAAGGGCGTCATGAGGCGAAATACCATGCAAACTTTATCATGTACAGGTTATTAAACTATTTACCCACGGCAATTAAGGCACTGAGGTAATGAACCGTTTCCTGCGTGTGTCCAAGAGTTTGAGAAACACGTGACCTTTGTGTGTGTGTCCCTCGTGGCGTTAGGTGCAACATGACGTCTAGTGTGTACACACAACTACACACGGAGACACCAGGTCAGTCACACGGCGTCATGGTGGGGGTGACATTTTACCATATGTCATGCAAAGCTATTACTCGTCGTCGTTTCGGTTCACAAGCCCGACCGTGTGATCAGTGACTAAAATTCAGAGCCAAATAGTCTGAATTACTGGAAATTCCTTTGGATTGTTTGATTGTTGGTGGTGGAACGCGCTCAGTAACACATACACCGCCCACCCCCACCCCACCCACCCATCCCATAACGCAAATTATCACCTCGAACACAACGCACAATATGACAACGCACAATATCACCTCGAACATAACACACAATATCACCTCGAACACAACGCACAAAATCACCTCGAACATAACACACAATATCACCTCGAACACAACACACAATATCACCTCGAACATAACACACAATATCACCTCGAACACAACGCACAATATCACCTCGAACATAACACACAATATCACCTCG